CACAATGATCTATAAATAAAACTTGATTGTAATAAGATAACAAAGGTCTTTGTCTCCTATATGCAATCAATTTCGCACCAAGAACGACGTAGTGACGCGACGACACGGCTGCATGTCCCGCTCTTGGCGTCATTAATATCGAATCTATTACGCGATCGTTAAATTTTGCAATGTTTTAATTACCGTTTGAAGCGAGTCTCGGTGTCATTCGGAGCTGCTTCGTCCCGTGTTCACCACGATTTCTGTAACTCTGCAAGTAAATATAATTAAGATGATGAAGAACTTTTCGTTTCTAGCGGGATAAAAATCCGAAAAAATCACAATTATCGACTATTCGCGTGATACACTTTCGACCGAACAATTAAGTTACGCGAATAGTTCGAATAGATACTAGAATGCGAACGTTGAATCTATATATACGTGATAGTTAAGTATTCAAATGCTTGATAAATACAAATTCAACAAAGATTCCATTTACCGTTTGATCGAATCGCGCTGCCACTCGTCTCGCAGTCGATCCGTCTCGCGTCCGCCGCACTCTGAAAATGAAACGCAAATGAAATTAAGATGGCGAAATAGCTCATCTTTCGCGCGGTCAACTTCGCGCGCCAAGAGTGACACGGCGATGCGGCGGTGATGCGTGTTCTACTCTTGGCAAATAGCGAATCTATAATTACGCAATTTTCACATTGCAGTAAACGACAAATACAGATAATATTACCATTTACTCGAATCGCATTGCCGTTCATCTCGCGGAGCCGTCCGTCCCGTGTCCACCGTTGGCGTCGTTTTTGGCGCGTGAAGTTAATCGCGCACTGGAAGTCAAGCGCGCGATTAACTTCACGCGCCAAAAGCAACGCGACGCAATTGGTCTTAATTTTCGAATATTACGAAATACGTATTTGAACAAATTATCATCGTATTTTAATGCTGAATCTACATTACTACGCTCATGTTAATTCATATTATGGGAATTCAAAATTAATGTTATATTTTGAAGCGTAATATTGATTTAGAATGTAGTTATATTTAAATATTTTAATTATTTTTGAGATATATATAATCTTTAGAAAAACACATAAAAAATCGAAAAACTGTATGAAAGATTGAACTTATAAATATCAATCTTACAAAAAATTTATAAGAAAATTATAAATTAATTTAAAAAATGCTTATATGTTCATTGAAATGATTAATAGTCGTTATTTATAACGGGAATAAAAAAAATCTGGCTTATAAATTTCTATTTCGATTGGAATTTTAAAATGACAAAAGAAATAAAGAATATAATATAAATTATAAATTGTAGATCATTTAAATACATCGTGCTAATACAGAAATATACTTGTTACTATTAAAGTTCTATAACAAAATTTTTCAAACAAAAATATTAATATAGCAGACAACTTCACTGAGTTCTATTTATTGTTAGATATTAGAAAGCGTATTATTATAATAATTATTACTCTTATTTATATATAAATGAAATAGAAAACGACTAGATCTTATATATACGCGGCGTTGAAAAATGAACTCAATAAAATTATATCGACATCTTGCAAATTAGCGAATCAGCGTAATGCTTATTATTATGATACATTTAATATATGTAAAAATAAATAGAACTTAGCGAAGTATTATTATATTATTATATTATTGCTACTAATATTTTAATTTAAAAAATTTTATTATAGAACTTGAGCATGTATATTTTTTATTTATAAAATGTTTAAATAATCCACAAATTATAATTTATATTTATACTTTTTAAAGCAATTTAACAAGTAATTTAACATAGACTCGCACCACATTTACTTTTCAATTTTTCAATTATCACATGATTGATTCCGTCATTATTTTAACCAATCAAAAATAGGCTCATTTTAGAAACTTATTTCTAGGGAAGCTCCATGCACTCCACCTGCTAGTTGTGCCACCATAAGAGACGCATCATATGAGGTCTGTTCTTTTTAACTAAACTTTTGCATCAATTCATCTTTCTTCCTTTTCTCTGCAAAAGAAAAAAAAGAGGAAGAAAGATAAAAGGTGCAAAAGTTCAACTAAAAAGAACAGGCTTTATGAAAACATGGAAGCATCATGGATAAGATCTGTTCGCATTGCTCGCACTTTTTGCACTCGGCATCTTTGCTTTCTCTCTTTTCAAAGCCAAATATATATCTATCTCATTTTGAATGTAAAAATATTTGAGGATTTCATGCAATGCGAACAGACCTGTGGACAG